ATAGAAGAATTGATGCATTTGAGTTATGGTGTTGGAGGAGAATATTGAAAGTGCCATGAGCTGCCAAAAGAACCAACAGATCTGTGTTGGAAGAAGTACAGCCAGAATGCTCCTTGGAGGTCAGGATGGCCAAACTTTGTCTCTCATACTTCAGACATACTGTCAGGAGGGACCAGTCCCTGGAGAAGGATATCATGTTTGGTAAGGTGGAGGGTCAGAGAAAAAGAGGAAGACCTCCAGTGAGATGGATTGGCCAAGTGGCGGTATCGATGGACTCAAGCGTGGCAACAGTAGTGAGGTTGGCCCAGGACTGGGCAGTGTTTCTCTCTGCTGTGCATAAGGTCGCTATGAGTCAGTACTGACTCGATGGCACCTAACAACAACAATGCTACCATATTTTCTTACCACCTTCCTTTCATCACTGCCTAATGCTACTGTGTGGCACTGTGGGCTAATGCATCAAGACGGCAAAGTCTTTTGAACTGCAAAGTCGGTGGTTCAAGCTCACCAGCGGCTCCTTGGAAACCCTATACAGGGTCACTATGGGTCAGAATCGACTCAACGGCACTTAACAACAACATACCATTTCTAGTGTGGCACTGAGGGTTAACGAGCTAGACTGCAAGGTCGGTTTGAACCGCAAGGTTGGCAGTTCAAGCTCATGAGCTACTCCTTGGAAACTCTATATAAAATCGCTATGAGTTGGAATCAACTCGACATTTACCAATACCATTTCTACTGAGAACAGCAAATGTGTTCCAACAGACAAAAGCACACAAAATCAACACTTTGCTCTCAGACAGCTTGGAGAAATATTCTTCAGAAACACAAGAGCATAAAGTCAGAGAAGACAGAACCAAAAAATTGGGCTTCTGTCTATTTAGGATCAGACAACTACAGAGAGAAGAGAAGAATTCCAGAGTACCGCCAGACTCAATAGGATACTTACCGTCAGAGCTGTGATGATCTGGGGGCATGCGAGCCAGAACAAACTTGCTTTCTCTCCACTTAACGGGCAGTTCAGTAGCAACCTGATCAATGTAATAGCTGACAGAACAGCCTAAGGAAAAAGAGGAGGAAAAAAAAAAAACGATTGATAACCACCTCTGTCTTAGGAACTCTCTCTTCGAATAAGCCTGGTCACTGGTATCAACGGGACCCCTGAGGACTCTGATGACTGAAGACAAGTTAAGTCTGGAGGGGAATATCTTTACATCATCACAGACAGGGAAAGAGTGAATGAGATGGGCAGAATCATGGCACCTTTGCCATGTCTCTGTCATAGCGTCTCATTAAACCAAACGTTTGGAGTCCTGGGGTGGTGCTGAAGAATAATCACTGGACTGCTACCCACAGTCAGTAGTTCAAACCCACCAGCTGATCCTCGGAAGCCCTATACAGGGTCACTATGAGTCAGAACTAACTGGACAGCACTTCAGAATACAAACCAAACATTTAACTGTAACGGAATGTGAAATGAGTGGACGGACAAACATCCATAATGGGCTAATTAATAGAGTGCTCGTCTCATTGAACTCCTATCAATAAAGCTAAAACTAGCTGTGACTTACCTGGGCAAATGTATATGGTGGTGGTGGCGTGCCGTGGAGTCGGTTCTGACTCAAAGCAACCCCGTACAGGATTTCCAAGGCTGTAAATCTTTTATGGGAGCAGAAAGCCTCATCTTTCTCATGGAACAGCTGGTAGTTTCAAACTGCTGACCTTGAGGTTAGCAGCCTGAGTCGTAACCACTATGCTCCCAGAGCTCTTAAAGGTATATGTTGTTGTTGTTGTTGTTAAGGGCCATGGAGTCGATTCCAACCCATAGCGACCCTGTAAAGGGTTTCTGAGGAGCACCTGGTGAGCTTGAACCTCCAACCCTGCAGTTCAAACAGCTTTGCAATCTGACGCATTATGCCACAGCACCACACCAGGACTCCTAAAGGTATATGTTGTTGTTGTTAAGTGCCGTCAAGTCGATTGCGACCCTGTATAGGGTTTCCAAGGAACAGCTGGTGAGCTTGAACCACTGACATTGCAGTTCAAACGACTTTGCAGTCTGATGCATTAGCCCACAGCGCCACACCAGGACTCCGAAAGGTATATGAGGAGGCTTACAAAGTGTGGGAACGAGTTGTGTGATTGCGGCCCCCAGGTGCTGACATTTGCTTTGCTGCTCCGCTGCTTTGAGTTCCTGACCCACCTGCCCTGCTGCGCCGACGGCAGGATGGCCCACAGGCAGATACACCTCCACGCGCACTATCAGTCCAGGCATGTCATGTTACCCAAAGAGCTTTCCAAACAAGGACCCAAAAGCCATCTAATGATTAAAGAGGAATGGAGACTAGGTGTTCAACAAAGTCTAGGCGGAGCACACTACAGGATTCATGAGCCAAAAACATGCGCTCTTCTCTTCACACAACCTCTTCCAAAAGAGCCAACAAAAACAAAGTGTATTGGGGGATCACCAATGAAATAGCTGTCAAATTTTAATGTGTATGTGTATACATGGTAGTATTCAATGAATACCTGAAAAATGTACAAACAATTCATGCATACCTGTACATGAACTGTATTCTTCACAGCAACAGAACTCAGGTCAACGCAACTACAAGTAGTTTACTGTCAGGTGTTTTAACTGTTCGTTTTTCTCTTAAATATTAGAAAGAGCCTGTGGAACTTTACCTGCTACTTGATTAAACAAAAGTTTTTATGTTGGGGGAAAAAAAGTGTGTGAAAATAGAAGTAAAACATAATAGAACTTTTCCATGAACTCTGAAAAGCCCCCTTGAATATGCTAGTGGATAAAAGGAGGGGCTAGAGAGAAATAGAGACAATACAATTGAGACAGTACAACTGGGGTTTCTCTGAACCCTGAGAGGAGACACTTGGGAAGGGAATTTGACTGAGTTCTCACACCAGCCTCCTCCTCTAACACTGCATACACACACACAAATAAAAAAATCTGCCATCCAGACAGACGCAAGAACACCCACACTTGCAGATAATACCCACATGACTTGGCTTCAAAGACTGGATGAACAGAGCTCAACCCGAAGAAGAAAGAAGAGGAAAAAAGCATCATCTGATACAATTTGATAACCTTGACCTACACCTATAAATGCAGTAGCTCAAAAGAAGAAACAAACCCCTGCTGCAAGAATCATTCCCACCCCCTCCACACAAAGAGTAGACAGGGATGGGCAACTTGGACATTGGCTACCCAAAATGGGGGAGGGATACAAAGGTAAGAAGTGACTGGCTTACAAGCTTTCAAGAGGAAACCTAGGTGAAACTGATGATGTGCCCTGTAAACTTTCACTCAATGCACAACAAAAACCTTAAAAAAAAAAAAAAAAAGAGGGAACCTAGATCCAGAGGGCGTGGAGAAAGGTAGAGTCTCCAGTGAGTGGTGTCCAGCCTGTCCAGGAAGGGCTGATGAAATGAAATGCAGATGGGTCTCTTATGATGCAATGGTGAATAATTGTTATCGGGGCTGATTGTGAGAGTTGGAAATGTAAAGGTGGACATTTTGTAGCAAGAAGGGAGTGATTAACTTCTCAGTCTAGGAGCAGAGGCCCCTGGGACCATCAATGGAGAAGAGCGGAGAGCGGGACCACAGCCAGAGAAGCAGTGAGGCCTGAGATGGAGGCAGAGAAGAAGACGTGAAGAGATGGAGTGGCTGGGGAGTTGCGATCCAGAGAGGGAAAGGGACTGTGTGCTGAGGACCGTGGGGGGCGGGGCAGGCTTGCAGGGTATATCCTTTGGTTGGGTGATGATGCATGAACGGGATGGTTAACTATGGCAATGAAACGATGTATAATAGAATGAATGTAAAACTAATGTTCTCCCATGTAAACTATCAACACAATTCACAATAAAACATTTATTAAAACAAAACAAAACAAAAAACATCTGCCATCAAGCTGATTCCATGTCATGCAGACCTGGATGCTGCCAAGGGACTCCCACGCTGTGACCTCGTGGAAACAGACTGACAGGTCTTCTTGCCAAGGTGTCACTGAGTACACACAAACCCCCAACCTTTCTGTGAGTCGTCAAGTGCTACAAGGTGTGCAGTAAACAATTAGGCCTTTTGGTCCTGTTTCTTGTAACACAGACCACACCTGAGACCAGTGTGAATAAGTTCCAGGTGGTAGGGACTCAGAGAAGGGTGAATGGGGATGAGACAGAAGGGCTAAGTGGGCAGTGGGCCTGAACTAACCAGGGAAGGGAAGTGGAGATTTTTATGGGGCACTCTTGACGTATACAGTGAGATTGAGATTCATTATCCAGCAGAAACCTGGCATCCAAAGTGGATGATCACAGCCACTCTGGACTAGTCTGATGGTACAGTAAGCAAGGCGAGTTAGAGAGAAACTGGTCTGGCCAAGCACTTAAGTACTTGCTCCACCCAGGGGCTCCCTGCACATCTTACAACCCTGGTCACAATTCTAGATTCCACCGTCTGCTTTCCCTACCTTTTCTGGCACCCTCTCTCTGGCTATTCATATTTAATAATTCTGAAATCCCCACCTCCTGCCCCGACTTCTCAACTGAAATCCAACCCTACTTTTTAAGCACCTGCAGGATGCACGGATCCACCCAGACTTATATGAGCTGGTGCATCCATGCCCCGCCAATCTTCTCACACTCATGCGCCCTCTGTTCTTGGTCCACACACCAAATTTTCAGCTCTCTGTCTTTGAAAGTACCCCTCTCCTAACAACATCCTCCCTTCCTCCTCACTGCCCCTATTCAAATCACTGCCACTCTTCGATTCTCAGTTCAAACCTGACCTACACAAGTCTCCTGGTGATCTGATTGGTCTCAACATGAGTTATAACTTGCTTTTCTACGGTTTACTGAAGAGAAACCCACTCAAAGCTGGGCAAACACATACAACGAACGTCTCCTAACAGATGAGCAAGCAGCTCAGGAAGGGGGGTCAGCCAAGAGGCAGAGAAAGCTATACGAGCAACTGAGCCCTCTTCCCCAGCCCCCAGAACCTTCTCAGTCTTGGGTGGTGGTGGTTATGTGCCGTGAAGTTGGTTCCAACTCAAAGTGACCCTGTACAGACAGGGTGGTTTCTGAGGCTGCAAATCTTTACAGGAGCAGAAAGCCTCATCTTTCTCCCACAGAAGAGCTGGTAGTTTCGAACTGCTGACCTTAAGGTTCGCAGCCTGATTTGTAACCACTATGCTACCAGAGCTCCTTTCTTGGTCTTAGGAAATCGATATAATCTCTTCTTATTGCTCTGCTCTGATTTGCCCTCCACTCATGCTCCCAAATTACACTCTTGCTTTCCTCCCACTCAAATCAAAACCTACTCCCTGTGTGTAGCTAAGAAGCTTAACATCATTAGACCCTCTGATTCAGGCCCTGCCCATGATTAGCCGTGGCCTTCAGCATATTCCTTAATCTCTCTGACATCTACTTCTTCGTCAAAAGAATGGGATAACAGCAAGCAGCCAACTTCGTGGGGCTAATGGGGCTATTTAGTGAGTGAAATAAGGAAGAAACGCTCTGACATATATGTAAGACCACATGGAGGGGCAGGTTTTTATTAGTAATGAACTCACTGAAGGACAACTTGCTAACTGAAACGATTCTCAGATACTGGGGCTCAGATAGTATGACTAAGTCCAATGAAAATTTCCCAAAAAAGTAATATGAAAAGACATTCAATAATGAAACAAAGTATATGATTCGTGAATGTAAAGCTGATGGTCTGCCCTGTAAACTTTTACTCAATTCACAATAAAAACTGAAAGAAAAAAAAAGATACCCTAAAATGAGGTTTTTTTGCGTGTGTGTTAACATTATGAGTATGTAATAGTTCCATACATGTAAAAGAGTACGTACAAGGGGGCTTCAAAAAGCTTGTGGAAAAATTCCATTATCCTTTCATTACATTTCTCCATGAACTTTTGGAAAGCCCTTCATATTTGTCATTTGAAAACTTCTCCTGTGAAAAATAAGGCATCCTTACTCTGAGTTCACGGAGTTGTGGTGTGGCGCTGTGAGTTAATGCACTGGACAGCAAAGTCGGTTTAAACTGCAAGGTCAGCAGTTCAAGCTCACCAGCTGCTCCTGAGAAACCCTAATACAGGGTCGCTAGGGACCGGGAACTGACTCAAGGACATTTAACAATAGTCATTATGGAGTCTTGGTGTGGTGCGGTAGGATAAGCATTGTACCCCAAGGTCGGTTTGAGCTGCAAGGTTGATGATTTAAACCCACCAGTCACACCCTGGAAACCCTAGATGGGGTTGCTAGGAGTCACAACCAACCTGAGGGCACTTAACAACAACAGTCCCTATTAGTCTGATTATTTTGTTTGCTGGTTTAATTTTCCAGTAAGTTTTGCCATTTGAGCCTCTCTCATCTCATGCAATAGCAGGAGAGAAGCACCCACCTGCAAATCTGCTTTCCACACGTTACTGACATCCAGCCCTCGGAGCGCACAGTGCATCACCATCCTAAAGTCCTCGGTTGTCCCAACAGCTAGCATCTGAGTAAACAAGGCTTCCAAATGAGGTTCCATTTCTTCAATCACCTCAAAGGGAACTTGGGGATCTGTGTGGGAAAGAAGCCAAAAGTGTTAAGATGTGACAAAGGGGACAGGCTAAATTAGAACAGCCAGGTGATGAACTGTTCAGTGTCATTAAAGTTTGAAGGTGTAGGAAATAGTCCTAAATACTGGATGTCCGGATCTCATGAACACACACGACTGAATTTGCATGTACACATGAGCACACAGAAAAAAGGGGCAACGTCTAACAACTGTTGCTGTTGTTAAGTACCGTGGAGTCGGTTCCGACTCATAGTGACCCTGCAGAGGGTTTCTGAGGCTGTAAATCTTTACGGGAGCAGAAAGCCTCATCTTTCGCCCATGGAACGGCTGGTAGTTTCGAACTGCCGACCTTGAGGTTAGCAGTCTGACTCGTAGCCACTAAGCTACCAGAACAATGGTTAGCTTTAACTCACGGGCATACAGATAACTGCCACTTTATAATTTTTCTCTTTCTATTGTGATTCTTTTGGAAAATCAGAAGCGGTGTGGGCATAGGTGAAGCACCTAAGTTTGTTCTTGTTAAGTGCCACTGAGTTGGTTCCAAAACTCATAGCGATCCTGCATAGGGTTTCTGACGAGCAGCTGGTGAATTTGAACCACCGACCTTGTGGTTCAAACCGACTTTGCAGTCCAGTGCATTAATCCACACCACACCAGGATTCCAACCATATTGTTGTTGTTAAGTGCCGTGGAGTCAGTTTCAAATCATAGCAACCCTGAATAGCATTCCCAAGGAGCAGCTGGTGGGTTTGAACTGCTGACCTTGTGGTTCGCAGTCCAGTGCTGATCCTACTGTGCCACACCAAGAAAGCCAGCCATCATATTAAGGGTGAGTAGTTAATTAATGGTTACGAATTGGGCTGTGAGCCGCAAGGTCAGCAGTTCAAAACTATCAGCTGTTCTGCTGGAGAAAGATGAGGCTTTCTGCTCCCATAAAGATTTACAGCCTTGGAAACCCTGTACAGGGTTGCTGAGTCGGAACCGACTCCACGGCAAGTTGATTAAATGTTAGACCAAATAGAGCAGGCTAATTTTTAAGCTGATAATTTTGTATGACCCAAGAAGGTTATATATTTTTGGCAGAGAATATAGGTTCCCCACTCCTGCTATACAGGGTCACTGAGTCAGAACTGACTGGACAGCATTTAACATTCTGCTATCAGAAAGCAGTCTTTAGAGAAACTTTTTTTTTTTTTTTTTTAAAGCTGAAATCTACCTCTAGGTTACCCGAAGGTACAGTCATCTGTGTGATGCTCCTTGCTTATGGACTGGCACACGTCCCCCATCCCTTCCCAAAGCCTTTATCTAGTTCTTACTTGCATTCTGTCTGGACCTCTCGTCACTCTGGTTACCCTTTTCTAGGCAGAGTCTAACAGAGCAGGGAAACTCCTAAGATGTACACGGCTTGGACTCATTGGCCCAGCTCTGACTGTGTGCCCTGTGGGACCAGCCAGGCCTTGTGCTCTGTCTAGAACCCCACACTTCACTATACAAACCACCATTGTACGTGCTCTGACACAAGTCAGATCCACCCAAAATCCAGGAATGACAGTTGAGGCTTCAAGAATTATTTCACCTTACAGGGAAGCAGGGAAAAAGGAGACAGTATTTGGTTTAAAAGAGGGATGGGAGGCCAGGGCTACAGACCATCAGCTGTTATTTCTTAGAACATACACCAACAGCTCATTAACCAGTCTTAACAAAAGACTAAAGTTTAGCCCAAGAAGGTGAACACCATAGAAGAGTTGCTGATAGAACGCAGTAGAACAACGTGATACCAAAGTCTTTTTAAATGAATCCACAATCAAGCCAGAGAGACAGAACAGTTACTGACAGGCAGACAACAGCCACATTATTCAGGCACTTAAACTCTGGCTCCGGCCCAGGCATACCAGGTGGTTCTACTTGCTAGAAGGCTACACTTAACTCTTACATATCTGAAGCATAGCTTGGGGTCCCTCAATCAAGAAATATGAGCACACATCGCTCATCCACCCAAAAGCCCACTGCCATGGAGCCAGCTGACCCATAATGTCCCTAATATAAGGTTTCTGAGACTGTAAATCTTTATGGGCACATACAGCTTCATCATCCTCCAGCTGGTGGGTTTGAACTAAGCCTTGCGGTTAACAGCCCCAGTGCCTAATCCACAAGTGTTAGACTTGGCTGACTGACCCCGACCTTCTTCAAAAGGTTATCCTAACTCTAACCACCGCCCTCAGTAACAACCAAAACTCCAAGATAAACAAGGAACCTGTGCTGCGTGCTAGCTTGCGAAGAACCCAAACCGTTAGCCTTTAATCTAAGGAACTAGATAAAACCTTCATGCACAAAGACAATCCTTGTGTGCTGAAAGGCCCTGGATGGGTGACATCTGACCATATGTGTCAGAGCTGTGCTCTGCAGAACCCGCTGTCCCTTCTGACGATTACCACCACTGGGCATCAAAAACTGCCAGTCACCATTGTAAACAAGGACTGCTGGCAAGAAAAGGTACGTTCCTGCCCTCACAGAATTGTATTAGGATGCCTACTAATTAGTAAGACTTTTGCATTTTTTTTTTTTTAAAGTCAGATTTTACATCTTTTGAGTCCATTTAGAGGAGTCCTGGTGTGGCACTGTGGGATAATGCACTGGACTGTAAGGTCGGTTTGAACTGCAAGATCAACAGTGTAAATTCACCAGCTGCTTCTCAGAAACATTATACACAGGGTCGCTAAAAGTTGGAATCGACTCAATGGCACTTAACAAATTAATAAAAACAAGTCAATTTCTAGCACTAAAAATCTGACACCAAAGAGCCTGTTACCAATGGTGAAGCTTTCTCATCATCAGTGATACAAAGGTTATTCTATATATGTTAACCATTTGGGACCAACACAATTTAAAGATGAAGAGAGGACAGACTTACATAGAACAATTTCCAAAATACTATTACATGAAAAAGCAAGGTGGTAACCAATGCACGCAGAATGCAGCCATTTTGTGTAAAAAGAGGGAGACATTGCTTATATGTGCATGGAATATCTATATTCCTGGGAGTACGGAGTGGGAGATCTTTCCTGATTTACCATTTTGTATCTTTGGGCCTGCATGCCGTGCGTTACTGCCTCGTCCAAAAACGGGGAGGTGGTGGAGAAACTCACCTTTGCTGCCTTTCATCAAAAACTCTAGAATACAAAATGAGCTTCGGAGCAAATACCATACCTGCAAGGACTCTTCTTAGAGACTGAATCGTGGAGGTGAAAATGGAGTCCTTCGGAGGATGGAGTTCTGGAGCCAGAAAGAAAAGAGTTAAAAACTGCAAGCCTGCCTGAAAAGATGAGATGTTTCCTGCTAGAGTTGGCAACTCTGACAATATCTGGGAATAAACAGTCTGATATAGAGAGGTGTGGGCAAATGGCATTTTGTCTGACACGCTAGAAATCTCTGCCTCTCCGTTCCTAGAGTGCCGGCTCATGTCCGCTTCCAGGAGTGTGGTGACCGAGGAGAGGTAGGTGGAGGGCAGGCACCAGCTTGTTGCCCTGGACACTGAGCAGAGCAGCAGAACAGCCCCAGTCTGCTGGATGGCCTGTCGCAGCAGCTCAGGCAGTACCTCTTCTGGTTCCCGATGTTGTTTCTGCTCTTTGACAAAAGAGCCCAAAACTTGGCACAACTTAGTTAAAGACACCAGCAAGAGCTGCCTGCCCAGACAACTCTGGTTTCTCAGCTGTTTGCCAGAAGCCGCCTTAGTGTACTGTTTGCAGCTTGAGAGAAATTCAATGATTTTCCCAAAATTGAGCGCCAAACTTAGCTTTATCTGGATGAGTATCTGCATTAACTGTTCTAAGAATGCCTCGATCACTTGCAGAAATGTCAACCAAGAGGGGTCATCTATATTAATAAGAAATTGACTACTGACTTTGAACAAGGAGGTCAGGATGATTTGAAAAATATCGCTGGCATACATGATCTTAAACACAGCCCGGGCACTTCTTCCTCTCTGCAGGTAACCAAGAAGCCGATAGCAGGTCATCAGAAACTTGAGAGTCAGTGAGGAGCAATGGCTACCCAACTTGGTGATGACCATGGACAATAACAGGAGAAAGCAGTGCACATGATAGGGAGCCGAGAGACAGTCCAGCTGTAGAGCAGAAACAACTTCCAAAAGCCCTAGGATGCTTTCCAATTGTTCCGCATCCAGCTCAATGGGGAAGTCACTCTTGACCAACGACAGTAACTTCTGGGCAATCTCTCCTCTTGGCTCTACATCCTCAGGTCCAACATTTGCAAGTCTGTTCTCCCAATGAGTCACAACTGTGTGGTCTTCTTCAAAAAGCCAGGGTACCTGCCGCCTTAGAAGACCCACGTCACCCTGGGCACCAGAAATCAGAATGCTACTACATCTTGCAATGACGCACATCAAGAAAACAGACTGGAGAGACTGCATTTCCGGGAAGAGGGGACTGTGAAGGACAGCCTTGGACAGCTTGTCAAGGGTGATACAGGGACCTTCCTCTGCTGAGTCTTCCTGGGCTTTGTGCATTGGTAAATTCCTTAGCAGGACATTAGCTAGGTAGCGCACATCATCTGGGCCAAGGTACGGTACCAACATTGGGAGATTTGAAACAATCAAGTGCCAATGTGCTACCGGGTAAGTAAGTGCATCCACTGTCCCCACCTGGCGATCCCAGGAAGCCACTCTGCTTTGACTCAAGCTCTCCTTGCCAGAACGAAGAATGTAGGCAGCGTCATACTTCAAAGTCTGGAGGGCTTCTTCGGACTTCCAACTAGCTTGCATTAAAGTCCTTTTCATCTTCTGCAGATACAGCTGTTCGAGGCAATACTTGCCAAGAGAGTCAAACCGAGCTGTAAGCTTTTCTATCTCCTTCCAGTGTTTTCTTTCAACACCTGGGAGCTGTGAAGGGAAGTTGGAGATCTCCAGATCAGGACCTGTAAAGGGCCCAGATACAGAGTGGTAATGGCTACAGTTGAGACTGAACATGGTGTCCACCTGGGCCCATGTGTAAGCAAGCAGGAGTGCAGAATCACTAACCTTCTGTTGCCACAGGCCCCGGTCTGGGGCCTTCAGGTCAGTCAGAAGGTGGAGCAAGGGCCGCACAAGCTCATGACACATGCTCTCCATCATGCACTGAGTCCGTCTGACCACAGGCAGAGGGCTGCTGTTGTCCAAGCTCCTCATGTTAAACATGACACAGTGTAGAAGCGAACTCAGCGACAGTGACTTCAAGGCAATGTCAGGATCATCCAGCACACATGGCAAAATCAAAGACTGGAACTTGTCCAGCATGAGGGACCATGTGTCCAAGATCTGATTGGGAGGCAATTCCGTAAGGCACTCAGAGAGCACTATGGAAGGGCCTGAGGATAGAACAGGCCGCCGCAGCTCCTCAGCAGCTGGACGACAGATCACACCCAGAATGTCCTCAAACAACTTCGGTACTTGCCGGAGTTTGGCGTAAGTCTGGAAGAGAGTGTTAATAAGCACCTCCTGAGCTTTTCTGGATCGAAACTCTGTTACTTCTGCATCAACCCAACCGGAAGCCACCAGGTCATCCAGGTCTGGCTCCAAAATCAAATGATTCAGAGAGATCAAAATCTTCAGACAGCGGAACCAGGCTGGTATAGATGCTTGTGGATGGTTTATCAGCAACTCAGCTAGACGGCGGTAAAAACAGAACTGAACTTCCCCATGCCGGATCCTATCGGCAGCAACGTTGTAAATATTGTTGTTGACCACTGCATTTAGAAGCTGTTCCACAACCAAAAGTTCCGTGGTCCAGTCGGACGTGGAGAGGGTTTCTGTCTGTTCTTCCTGGAGACAGGCAATCCTCAAGCAGCCAAACAGTTTGGGGAGCGCATGAAAGCAGAGCAGTTGGTTTCCCTCTTTAAAGTAAGACTCTAAAAAGAGCTTATACAGCAAAGCCACGGAGCTGGCCACAACAGTTGCCTGAAGGGATGGCTCACAGTAGCCAGTGTCTACCAGCTTGGAGATCATGGTGTTGATGGGGGTCAGAAGGCTTTTCATAGCCCCCATCTTAGCACTGTCCTGATGCTGTTCCAAGAGTTCCTCTTTGTAGGAAGACAGCAGCTCAGGTTGAAAAGCTCCACCTCGAAGCAAGCTCTCGATCTGATTCCTAATGTCCCGGCTCAAAGCCGGACGCAGCTGCCCCTGACTGGCCTGCGTCCACTGGCCCACTGAGAGTAGGTGTCGCAGGACCAGGCAAGGCTGGAAGAGAGAGCCAATCAATTCCCCAAAAGCACGTTTTGGATTAACCTGCTGCTGCTGGATTGAGAGGTAATGGCCAAAGGCCAGGTGGATGACCTCGAACAACTGGGCGATTATAGCTCCTTCTGGCTGCCGGCAGGCTAAGTGGCACAGCTGGCTCAGAAGTGCCACCATCAGCTCCTGCTTGGCCACATAAATGACAGCAAGGGCAGGCGTCGAGAGGATGCCCTGGCAGCAGCTCAGGACCGAAGAGATGCTTCTCTGGGATCCCAAAGGAGAGAACTCGGTGATTCTTTCATTGATGATCTGAAAATTAAGGAATAAAGAAAGGTCGTTACATTAACCCCAACATATACACACACAAAAGTGCAACAGGATCAATGAACTCATTCCTTGCCATTAACTTGATGAGGGAAAAATGCCCAAATTATCACACTAAATCACCTTGACATTTGCTTAGGGCCCAAAGAGAAGGCAAGTACCTCTTTTATATAAGTACATATAGACACAGGGATCCTTCTAAGTTTGCTATTCCTCATTAAAGAGTTGGGGTTTGTAGGGTTACAACCTGCAATTCAGCTTACATGCTATCATGTGGGCAGTACTTTGGGTATGACCAAAATAAAGTTTTGGGCTTTTTCCAAAATGTAGTTTTATAGTTAACTACGCTGTCTCTACTGCAAAAGCCAAAGACTTGCTTGGATAGGAGCACAAACGTTGTCAATTACTACCTATTATGCAGCAGACGCACAGCTTACCTCTTACAAATCCCCAAATTCACTACCAGTAGGAATTATGAAGGCTGAACATATTGCTAACTTCAGTTCTACTGATTTACTTCCAGCGATCCAGCCCCTAAAAATAAGTTTATCCTGGTTGGTAAGTGATCAGTAGTTCACTGAGTTAGATATTAATATCTTCATGCAAATAGAATGAAGAACGCAAGTGAAGACACAGTGAGGAATGTAAGAGTTAGAGAACAGAGGTAAGAACTCTTATATACCCCCTCCTGCAACAGCAGTGATCTACAAGCAGATACAAGGAGCTCTGGTAGCGTAGTGGTTAGAAGTCTGGCTACAAACCTCAAGGTCAGCAGTTCAAAACTACCAGCTGTTCCATGGGAGAAAGATGAGGCTTTCTGCTCCTGTAAAGATTTACAGCGTCGTAAATCCTATGCAGGGTCACTATGAGTCGGAACTGACTCTACGGCACACCACCACCAGTGCCACCACGAGTACATACATACATACACAGGCTGAACGAGTGTGGGATGGAAAACGGGCATATACCCAAAAATATATAAAAGTTTGACACAGAAGATTTATACATGGGTATTTACCTTTGCTGCGAACATATTAATGAATATGGTGGAGCAAATGGGGCAAATTATGAAAACTTCTTACACATGATCAAACATCTTGAGGGAATAAGTTGCTGGGGCCTGTTGGCTCAGGACCACAGTCTTCGGAGACACCATAGTCAATTGGTATAACGTAGTCCACAAAGATAATGTACTACATCCTATGCTGGTGAGTACCAACTGGGACCTTAAAAGCTCATCAGCAGTCACCTAAGGTGCAGTTATTGGTCTCCATCTGTTCTAAGAAGAGTAATGAAAACTGAAGACACCTAGAAATAATCAGTTCAACAGACTAATGGATCACATGAACGTCAGTCTTCATGACCCTAAAACCAGAATGAGATAGTGCCCGACGACCACTAACACTTTGCCTTCAAAGGTTATCACATTAGAAAGGCCTGAATAGGGTGGGAGAAAATCCTGGGGGGAAATCAATCATAAAAAATACCAGGCTTACTAATCAGATAGAAGTTGGTGGATTCCTGAGACTGTGACCCTCGGTCTGAACCTAAACTCACCCCATTGCTCAATTTTCAGTTTATGGGCAACACTAGTGAGGTAGTCACACCACAGAATGGCTGATCATTTGGGAGCCAAAGAGCAGTCTTTACCTAAGGCCAAACTTCAGAAAGGTGGGGAAAGGAGGAGAAATGGAACCAAGAAACACAGTGAGGAAAGTGGAATAGGTGCTATTACATTGTGGGGGCTGCGTTGAAATGAAGTGTACGATTCGTTCATTTCCAACTGATGATAAGCTCTCTAAACCTTCACTCATTCACAATAAAAAGATCAGAAAAAAAAAAAATCTCTATACAAATAACTGTCAGCCATAGGACCTTTAGTCACTTTGAAAATGCTTAAATAAAAAAATGTTAAGTCCTTGAATGCCAACAGACATTGGCAATACTTATGTTGTAAAGTGCTGTCGAGTTGGTTCCAACTCATAGTGGCCCTATGCACAACAAAATGGAGCAATGCCAGGTCCTGTGCCATCATTGCAATGATTGCTACACTTAAAGCCCATTGCTGCTGCCACTGTGCCAATCCATCTCATTGGGAGTCTTAATCTTTTTTGCTGACCCGCCACTTCACAGAGCATGATTTCTTTCATCAGCAAGTGGTCCCTCCTGATAATATGTCCAAAGTATGGAGTCCTGGCATGGCACTGTAGCATAAGCACTGGACTTATACCCACCAGACACTCCTCAGAAATCCTACTCTGGGTCTCTGAGTTGGAAGCAACTCAATGGCACTTATCAACAACATGAGAAACAAAGTCTTGCCAACCTAACTTCTAAGGAACATTCTGGCTGTACTTCTTCCAACACAGAATTGTTTATTCTTCTAGTACTCCATGGTACTCTCAATCAGTATTCTTCTCCAATACCACAAACCAGATGCATCAATTCTTCTATGATTTTCTTTATTCATCATCCAACTTTCACATTTGTATCAGGCTATTAAAAATACCAGGGCTTGGATCAAGTGCTTCCTAGTGGTCACTGATATTTTGCTATTGAACACTTTAAAGAGACCTTGTGCTGCAGATTTGTCTAATGCAATACATCATTTATCTCTTGACTGCTTTGAGATCCAAGGAAAATGAAGTCTTTGACAACTTCAATCTTTTCTCCATTTATCATGATGTTATTTATTGGTACAGTGGTGAGGATTTTTGTTTTCTTTATGTTGAGGTGCAATCCATACTAACAAAGTCAGTGACCAACTTTGGAACAGACCATCAATTGCTCAAGGTGGTGGTGGAGGTGATTATCTGCCATTAGGTCAGTTCTGATTCATAGTGCCCTGTATAGGGTTTCCAGTGGTTACGCATCAGGCTGCGAACCTTAAGGCCAGCAGTTCAAAACTACCAGCTTCTCCGCGGGAGAAAGATGAGGCGTTCTACTCCCGTAAAGATTTACAGCCTCGGAAACCCTGTACAGGGTCGCTATGGGTCGGAACCGACTCGACGGCACTTAACAACAACAAATCTTTACAGGAGAGAAACCCTCATCTCTCTCCCACGGAGCGACTGGTTGATTTCAACCATTGACTTTGCAGTTAACAGTCAGCTTTTAATCCATTATGCTACTCAATCACTCATGTGAAAGTCCAAACTGAAGTTGAAGAAAATTACAATAAGTACAACTTTTATGTATATTCCACCCAAGTTTAGAGACCATCTCAAGAACAGCTCTGACACACTGAACACTAATGATCGAAGGTAACTTGCAGAATGACATCAAGGACATCATACATGAAGAAAACAAAAGGTCACTGAAATGACAGGAAAGAAAACAAAGACATAAATAGACGTCTGAAGAGACTCTGAAACTTGCTCGTAAATGTAGAGTAGTTACAGTGACGGTGTAAAAGAGCAGAACAGAAGATCTCAAAGAGCAGCTCAGGAAAACAGAGGAGAACAGTATAATGAAATATGCAAAGACTTAAATTAGAAAACCCAAAGGGAAAAATCATGCTAGGCATTTCTCAAGGTGAAAGAACTGTGAAAAGAAAAACGCAAACCTGAGTTACAGTATCAAAGGATTCTTTGGGCAAGATATTGAAAGACACCGGAAGCAGCAAGTGAGACAGAAGAAATACAGTAGCTCTATATGCCAAAAAGGCACTGAGCAACATTCAGCGATGTATGGAGGTCACGTATGATCAAAAGGAGTCCTGGTGTGGCGCTGTGGGTTAATGCACCAGACTGCAAAGTCGTTTGAATGGCAAGGTCGGCAGTTCAAATTCACCAGCTGCTCCTCGGAAACCTCTTTAAATCACTATGGGTCGGAACCGACTCGACGGCACTTCACAACAACAACAAATATGATCAAAAACCAAAGATATTGAAGGAAAAGTCCAGACTGCACTGAAACCACTGGCGAAAAGCAAGGCTCAAAGAGTTAATGGAATTGTTTAACAAACAGATGTAATGCTTTATTTAAGTTCTCACTTGCCTAAACCAACAAATATGGAAGACAGCTACCTGGCTAGCTGACTAGAAGAGATCCCTATTTGTACCAATTACAAAGAAAGGTGATCCAACAGAATGTAAAAAGTACTGCACATCATTAATATCACACACAATGTTTTGTTGATGATTATTCAAATAAGCAGTTGCAACAACAAAACAAGAGGGAAGAGCCAGACATGCATGCCAGACCAGACTAGAACGTGGAACATTAGCAATTTCAATGATGATATTATATGGATCTTGCTTGAAAACAGAAAGAATATCAAAAAGATGTTAACCAGAATTTTATTGACTATGCAAAGGCATTCAACTGTGTGGATCATAACACATTATGGATAACATTGCAAAGAATGGGAATTCCAGAACACTTAACTGTGCTCATGCAGAGCCTGTACACAGACCAAGAGACAGTTATTTGAACAGAACAAGGGGGTATTGCATGGTTTAAAATCAGGAAAGAGGTACCTCAGTGTTGTATCTTTTCACCACACTTATTCAATGCGTATAATGAACAAATAATCAGCAAAACTGGACTATATGGAAAAGAACATGGCGTTAGGATTGGAGAAAGACTCATTAACAATGTGTGTAATGTAGGTGACCCAATCTTACCTGAAAGGGAAGAGGACTTGAAGCACTTACTGATGAAGATCAAAAACTACAGCCTACAACATAGATTACACCTCACATAAAGAAAACAAAAATCTCACACCTGGACCAATAAGCAACATCATGATAAATGGAGAAAAGATTGCAGTAAACAAGGATTTCATTTTACTTGGATCCACAATTGACTCTTAGGGAAACAGCATTCAAGAAATCAAATGCCATATTGTATTGGGCATATTTACTGCAAAAGACCTCTTTAAAGTGTTCAAAAGAAAAGATGTCACTTTGAGGAGTAAGGTACACCTGCCCCAACCCATGGTACTTTCAAGTACCTCATATGCACAGAGTCCTAGTGTGACACTGTAGGATAAGCCCCTGACCACAAGGTCAGTCTGAACTGAAAGGTCAGTGGTTTAAACCCACCAGCTACTCCTTGGAAACCCTATACAGGAATACAGGATCTCTATGAGTCAGAACCAACTCATTGCACTTAACAACAACAGATGTGTGTGAAGGCTGGACGATGAATATGGAAAACTGAAAAAGAATGGATGCTTTTGAATTATGGTGTTGCCAAAGAATACTGAATATCCCATGGACTACCAGAAGAGTAAACAAATCTGTCTTGGAAGAATTACAGCCAGAATGCTCCACAGAAGAGAGGATGGTAAGACTTCATCTGATGAGGAGGGCTCAGTCCCTGGAGAAGGACATCATGCTTGGGGAAGTAGAGGGTCAGTGGAAAAGAGGAAGACACTCAATCAAAATTGACGCAGTGTTTGGTTGTGTTGTGCACAAGGTCACTATGAGTTGGAATCAACTTGACAGCACCTAACAACAATGCAGGCCTGGCACGTACTAAAAGCTTTATTGCCACTAGCTAGCCTCATGGTATTTCAAAACATTAGATTTCAACAATGAAGCCTAAGCTTCTGATCTGAGACTTCAGCACCAGAGTCAAAAACCTTGGAAGAAATGTCTATTTAGATTTTAGTCTTTGGCCTTTCTCCAGGCACAACAAAAAATTAAAAAAGAAAATCACAAAGAAGCATAATTTGCTGGGTAACTTTTTCAATTAAAAAGGTAACCAATAACCACCTGATGAAACAGCTCTTAATTTTTCTTAAATACTAAATAGCATAAAATGCTTACCACGGGATAGAGCATACAACATTCATTCAGTAAACATTAGTTGTTACTGTAACTCTAACAATTATTATCATTTTCTTCTCCTCCCCTACATTATTATTTCCTGTATCAACATATAATTGTTTCTAAAGCAAATAAGACTCCAGTATTATGAACTGCCTAGCCTTCAAGTGAAGGAGCTTTTAGCAGCAATGGTTGGTTGGTTATGTGTCACGGAGTCAGTTCCAACTCATAACAACCCTGTGTAGGGCTTCCGAGACTGTAAATCTTCACGGGAGCAGAAAGCCTCATCTATCTCCCTTGGAGCAGCTCATAGATTTGCACTGCTGGCCTTGCAGTGAGCAGCTCAACATGTAACCTACTACCCTGCCAGGAAGAAGCTCTGTTCTGTGGGAGAAAACAGAGGCTTTCTGCTCCCATAAAGCTTTGGTTGGTGGTTCTGTGCCGTGGAGTCAGTTCTGACTCATAGCGACTCTGTACAGGGTTTCCGAGGCTGTAAATCTTTACGGGAGCAGAAAGCCTCATCCTTCTCCCGTAGAACAGCTGGTAGTTTTGAACTGCTGATCTTGAGGTTCACAGCCCCATTTATAACCACTACGGTACCAGAGCTTATATTACCAAGCTTTAAAGCCTTGGAAATGCTCTACAGGCTTGTAATGAGTGACAGCACACCACCACCACCATCACCGCCACCACCATCACCACCACCATCACTACCACCAATACCACCACCATCACCACCACCATCACCGTCACCACCACCATCACCATCACTACCACGACCACCATCACCTCCACCACTCCCACCATCACCACCACCACC